TGGTGTTCTAGTTAGATTTATTTATAACCAGTTAAATGACGTCATCAAAATGACGGTTGCTGATCAATATAGTCTCAGGCCAGGAAACATATTTTGAGCCCAGTGTCTACTTCAATGCCAGGTGTCCATTTTTATTGGAATTACATGAATATCTACACAAATTAATAATGTCTACCTAGAAAGAGGTCTCTAGTGGAATAGCATAGAGCTTTCTTTGCTCTATGCTTTCTTCAATTTCCAAACACTTGGGTGAAGCTTTGGAAGTCAGATTTATAATATTTGCAGATGAACACAAACTGAGAGGGACAACATGATTTTGGAAGCCAGGATTAGGATCCAAAGAGACTGATAAGCAGAAATTCTGTTCCCAAGTTAACAAAATGAAATTCAGTGTAGTAAAATCCTTCACTTGAATCTTTGAGGGAATAAGTCCCAGCCCTGCCCAGTCAGGCATGGTGGAGAGCAAAGAGGAGGATGTGGAGGTAGAGAGTGGTCTCCTTTGAGTCTGCATCTTCATACACTGAAGGGGATCTGGTCAGGTGCAAGAGACCAGATACTCATCCAAGGTGAGGCCTTCAAACTTATATACTCCCCATGACTTTTCGCAGGCAATCACTGAGATTTGTAAAATGGGAGTTGGTTGGTCCACAGGCCTAGTTATAAAGGCAGAGCAGCATTCTTTAGCATTTTGTGTTATTATAGAAACAAGAATCAGGATAAGAAAAAAGAAAACCTCAAATGAAAGCAAACCTGGAGGCCCCTCCCCATCTCAAATGGGAGGCTCTGGGGTCACTCCTAGCTGTGTGACTCTAGGCAAGTTATCTGAGCTCTCTTAGCCTCAGTAATCTGAAAAATAGATATTAGAATTATTTCACCTCCAGAATTATTGTGAGAACAAATGTTTTTGTACTAAAGCACTTAGAATAGTGCCTGACCACAAGCAGTATGGGCTGTTATTACTATTATTATTAAAACTTAGAAAAGTATGGCTTGTTACAATGAGGAGACTAGTTAACAGGATTCTTACACTTCCCATGCCTTAGAAAAACATACAAAACAAAAAAACAGTCATAAAAGTGTAGGATGGAGGGCATATAGCTTTGCAGCATTGACCAAAAAAAAAAAAAAAAAAAAAAGGTAGATTTGGGCTGTTTTTGCATATACTGACCACTTTGTACCAACTGGCATTACAGTTTGAAGATGCAGAGCCTGTAGATTCACTCACTCTAGATTTTAGTTTCACTAGGCTTCATTTTTCTTTATCTTTTTTTTTTTTTTTTTTTTTTTTTTTCCAGAGAGACAGGCTCTTGCTCTATCACCCAGGCTGAAGTGCAGTGGTATGATCATAACTCACTGCAGCCTCCAGCTCCTGGGCTCAATTAATCCTCCTGCCTCAACCTCCTGAGTAGCTGAGACTATAGCCATCTGCCACCATGCCTGGCTAACTTGCTAAAAAAATGTTTTGTAGAGATGGAGTCTTGCTGTGTTGCCAGTGCTGGCCTTGGACTGCAGGCCACAAGTGATGCTAAAGCCTTAGCCTCCCAAAGCGCTGGAGTTGCAGGTGTGAGCCCTGCACCCAGGCTTCACTAGGTTACTTATTGTGAAACTGCTTTTAGCATCCCCATGTCATTTCCCGGTGTTGGTCCCTCATTCCTGCTTTCATCTCCTAGTTCAGATTAATTTTTCTAAAATAACAACAGCAGTATTTGTGTCTTACTCCAACTCCATGGCAGATGTGTGTAAATTGCAAGCATTTAGGAATAGCATTTGCCACCTCCCAAGACTTGGCTCTCCCTCTCGTTCTGGCCTCACTTACCTAGCTGACCTCCTGTAGTACTGAGTTGTGTGCTGGCCAAGTTCCTATTCCCTGGCCTGCTTTCCTTGCTTTGACCTTCCTTGAAATGCTGCTAACCTGACTTTTGACTGTGATCTATGTGCTGTCTCGTGTGTGAAGCCTAAAGAAAGGTCCTTCTCTAATGGAAACTTTCATTCTAGGAGTTACCTCATTCTGTTTTATGTGGATCTGTTAGCTCCTTCATTAGGTTTCAAGCTCTTTGAAACAGTGATTGAATTTGCTCACCTTTGCTTTCCTCTTGGGGTCTACATTGGGTCCCCAAGTGATAATAGAGCCTTCTGTAGTACTGAATTGCTTTGAGCAGAATTAAAGGACATTGGCACCAAATGTGATTTTGCTAATCCTTGGTAGATTTGGTGCCTCTGTCTGGGCCTGACGAGGGTAGAATGGCTGAAGAAAATGTGATCCCCCACCCATTATATTCTTTATTTCTGAACTACTCTAGAAGTTTTTGCCTCTTTTTGTTTCTATACATTTTCATACTTTTAAGCTACCCTTGCTTTTTCTTCCTGTCTAACCTTTCTTCACATGCTCACATGCAAGCCCAGTCATCCATCTCTCTTTTTCACCTTTCTGCCCTCAGATATTTTTCTTAAAATATCTTTTCTCATCTTACCTCCTTTCCTCTATCAGCCTCCTGAGCAGAAAATGGTAGTGCTAATGTTTTAAAAAGTCAGGGAGGACTAGAAATCTGTATGGAATGTAATTCACTTTTATTGCTTTTAAATTAAATGAAAGACTTTGCCCGTGTTTCCATTATACTCAGAAGGATTTCAGACTAAATCCTTAAGCCTGCCATATGGAAATAACTGGGCTAGATGGCTGCTATCTAATCTGAGCATTTAATTCAAACATTTGAAATGGTTTTTGCTTCAAGAAAACATAGGTTGACACTAAGCTTTATTTTAGCAAAGGTTTGGGAACTAATCTGTAGTATGTACACTTTAATAAATTTCATAGACTAGAGCAACAGATTATAATTTAGTTTGTTCTTCCAACATAAAACTATTCTAATCCTAGTTATAATTTCACTGAAGGCTGGATTTACTCACTGACTTGTTAAAACTGTAGATATCAACCACAACCCTGTTATTTAAACACAATTCAGAAATCATAAATAGAAATTCAAAAGGAGAGCTCAATGCTGCAAGATGAGATTTGATGCCCCGAAGAGACTCTGAAATTTGCCAAAGACCTTGTGGGACTTAAAATAACTTTTTGTTTCCTACCAGCTAGATATGGCAGCTTGAGAACTATTTATTATAAATCAAAATAGATATTTTACCAACTCAGAAAATGTTGCTTTTTGTTTGGCTATTAATCTTGTTTGTTCATATTTTTAACTAGGAAAGTTACAACGTAATATGGTCATCCAACAGACCACAAGAAGAGAATTTATCTCTCATTTTCAACATTTCAGCAAATATTTCTTGAACACTAACTGTGTGCAAGGTACTACAGTGAATGTTTCTGCTAATGAAAATATGAATTAAATTTGATGCTTGATCATAAGTAGAACTGTGATATTATAATATTATAAATGCCATAGAAAACTTGCTATTATAAAAAGCTCTGAGGAGTTAATGCTTGCATAGGGTACAGTGGGTCAGCTAGAGAAGGCTTTATAAAGAAAGTGGAATATGAGCTTTGATGCCTAGCCAGATGTGGGTGTGTGAAGAACAGGGCAGGGCAGTGGGGAGTGGGTGGATTCTGGACGGCTGAAACATTGTTAACAAAATCTCAGAAATGGTACAAAATGGAATATGAATGAGAAAAACAGAACATTGGTTAGGTCTTATTTTTATGCAAATTAAAGAGAAGAGTTAGAGACAAAGTTAAAGTCAATGGGTCTAGAATTTCAGCTTAAACTTTGGTAGTTGGTAGAGAATATTTTATCATTATTCTGCTCTTTAAACAACTTCAGAGATGATTGATCTGCACTAATCTGGATTGTAAAGGAAGAGAAATTGTTTGGAAGACCAGTTAGGGCATTATTATATGGTCTAGTAAAAGTTAATAAGATCTGCACAAGGCTGGGAAGAGTAGGATTAGAACAGGGGTGGAATTAAAGGACATCATGTAGTGGAAATTTCTAGGATTTGGAACTTGATTGGAGAGGAAGAAGAAAGGGAGGAGTTAAAAATAACTGTAATGAGCCAAATCTGAGAACTGACCCTGCTAAAAAAGTCAGACAAGTCAAGTGGTGCAGCTGGTGTGTGCTAGAAAGTAAGTTCAGCTTTACTAGCAGTACATGAATGTGTGCATGTTCCCTAATGGGCAGTGGAAAGTATGAAACTGAAACTCAGGCTATGACCTGGAATATAGACTTGGGACTCATTAGCATCAAGGAAATAGTGAAGATGTAGGAACAGATATGAATGCCAAGGGAGAATATGGAAGAGAAGATGGCCAAGGACAAGAGTCTAGGGAGAAGTTCTACTTTTAGGTGAGTCTGTTGAAATAGTGAGGTCAGAGTAGAAGTAAGAGAACTTAACATCATAAAAGACTGGGGAAGACAGAGTGTGGAGAAAGGAGGAGCAATAATATCCATGGAAGCAGAGAGGTAAGGAAGATGAAAACTGAGGGGGAAATCACATGTGGCAGCTAAGAATTCATTGATGACTTTCACAAGAGAGGTCTTAGAACTGTGACTTGCTGGAATGTATCCTCTCTGTCAGTCTGGAGTGTTTGTTTTTGACTTATTAAGTATGCTAGATTTGTCCAATAATTTAAAGTAGCACAGATAACTCTCTCTCTCTCTCTCTATGTGTGTGTCTGTCTGTGAGAGAGAGAGAGAGAGAGAGACAGAGAGAGAAGGAGAGAGAAAGAGTAAGCACCAGTCTTGTGGCCAGGGGACTATTTTATATTAATAAGTGATAAAATTATTTAAATATTCCTTGAGCTCACATTTCATCAATAATAGAAATGTTTACTTGGCCAAAAAGGAGATCTCTGGAAATTGACATTAGTCAATAAATAAAATTTGCACCCAAACTATGTTAATTAAAAAGACATTCTGCCCCCATTTAATCACATGAAACAGCAACAGCAACGAAAATTCTATCTAAACAGCTGTTTAATTGAATTGATGCTCATATCCCAGGAACATATTTAGATCATCTTTTTCCTTTTTTTTTTTCTTCAGAATAAAAGGCCAAGCTATGATAGCAACTGGTGGAGTGATAACTGGCCTGGCCGCCTTGAAAAGGCAAGACTCTGCCAGATCACAGCAGCATGTCAACCTCAGCCCGTCTCCTGCTACCCAAGAGAAGAAACCCATCAGGCGCCGGCCCCGGGCAGATGTTGTGGTTGTTCGTGGCAAAATCCGGCTTTATTCCCCATCTGGCTTTTTTCTTATTTTAGGAGTGCTCATCTCCATTATAGGAATTGCCATGGCCGTTCTTGGATATTGGCCCCAAAAAGAACATTTTATTGATGCTGAAACAACACTATCAACAAATGAAACTCAGGTCATTCGGAATGAGGGCGGTGTGGTGGTTCGCTTCTTTGAGCAGCATTTGCATTCTGATAAGATGAAAATGCTTGGCCCGTTCACCATGGGGATTGGCATTTTCATTTTCATTTGTGCTAATGCCATTCTTCATGAAAACCGTGACAAAGAGACCAAAATCATACACATGAGGGATATCTATTCCACAGTCATTGACATTCACACGCTAAGAATCAAGGAGCAAAGGCAAATGAATGGCATGTACACTGGTTTGATGGGAGAAACAGAAGTAAAACAGAATGGGAGCTCCTGTGCCTCGAGATTGGCAGCAAATACGATCGCCTCTTTCTCGGGTTTTCGGAGCAGTTTTCGAATGGACAGCTCCGTGGAAGAGGATGAACTTATGCTAAATGAAAGTAAGAGTTCTGGGCATCTTATGCCCCCTTTGCTCTCTGACAGCTCTGCGTCTGTCTTTGGCCTCTATCCACCTTCTTCCAAAACAACTGATGATAAGACCAGCGGTTCTAAGAAATGTGAAACCAAGTCAATTGTGTCATCGTCCATCAGTGCTTTTACATTGCCTGTGATCAAACTTAATAACTGTGTTATTGATGAACCCAGTATAGATAACATCACTGAAGATGCTGACATCCTCAAAAGCAGGTCAAGGAATTTGTCAATGGATTCCCTTGTGGCTCCTTTGGCTGACACCAGTGAATCCTTCCAGCCCGTCAGCACAGCGCTACCAAGGAATCATTCCATCGGGGAGTCTTTGTCGAGTCAATACAAGTCATCCATGGCTCTCGGACCTGGGACTGGACAGCTCTTGTCTCCTGGGGCTGCCAGAAGACAGTTTGGGTCCAATACATCCTTGCATTTGCTCTCATCACACTCAAAGTCCTTAGACTTAGACCGGGGTCCCTCCACTCTGACTGTTCAGGCAGAACAACGGAAACATCCAAGTTGGCCTAGGTTGGATCGGAACAACAGCAAGGGATATATGAAACTAGAGAACAAAGAGGACCCGATGGATAGGTTGCTTGTGCCCCAAGTTGCCATCAAAAAAGACTTTACCAATAAGGAGAAGCTTCTTATGATTTCAAGATCTCACAATAATTTGAGTTTTGAACATGATGAGTTTTTGAGTAACAACCTAAAGCGGGGAACTTCTGAAACAAGGTTTTAATGTTAAAATAATATATCATTTTACAAGGGTATATATTTTAAAATGATTTTCACTGGTGTTTCCTTCTTAAAGCACTGGCTATAAGCCTTTTTAATCAAATGGTTTGTAGTGTATTAGAATTGGCTGCTTAGTTCTGTAATGAAGATGGTTGTATGTTTGGGTTACTTGTGACTGCAGTACTCTATGTTATCACATATGATTTTATTTTTCTCTTCCTTTGAAAGCATGATCTCTTTTATTAATATGAATGCAAAATAGTTGCATCCAAATTAAAGCTTATTTTCTTTACTTTTAAGTTCTTTGATTGCCCTATTCATAAAATGAAGTGTCCAGTATGGAAAACAGAGGGTACCAAAGCGTGGACCAGGAGTACAAATTCAGTCCCAATACTCAATACATATTATAGAAGACTATGAGTGCAAACCTTAGGATGTGATTTTCTGAATAATTGTTCTTTGTAGGATTTGGTTAAATTATTTAAAATGAAGAAGATCTAGTTTCAGTATGAGCTCAATAATGTTAATTGGTTAAGTTCATTGTGAATCTTGAGTTTTAGATAGGTAGTATTATTTTCAATATCACTTCTGTTTTTAGTGATATTGTATCAAGAAACAACATATTCAAGAGCCATGGCTGACAGTGCCAGATATACTTAGGGATAAACATCAAAATGCAATATAGTAGCTATAACTTTAGATATTTGGAATCAAAATTTATTTGCAAGCTGACTTGATAAAATAAATGAACCAATATAATTGGTAGAAATGCTATCCTGAAATAATTATATACATGAAGACAATGTTGACTAATGAATGAAGATACATTATATACTAGTTAATGGTAACTAGTCTCAGTACTTTTTTTTAGCCATCTGTTACCTTCCAATAGCCCCTCATTCCCACATTTTATTTTCCCCCAATATGCTTTAGATCCTGGTATTTGGAAAACAATCAGCTAACCTTGACATTTCTTTTTACCTTCACATGCCACTAGCTTGGTAGTTCAAAAAAAATTTAGTTCTTGATAAATTGCCTTGAAGTTTACCTTGTGCTGGAAAGCCTTATGATAACTCCAAAGACTTTCTCATGGTATAATACATGTTGTTTAGGATTGTGTTTCTTAGTCACTGAAGATAATAAATATTAAAATGGATGTTTTCCTCAGAAAATTTTCATGTTTTCCTTTAAGGTAACATACTTGTAAGAATTGTTTAATAAAATACTCAGGAAATTCTAAAGGTTTCTCCCAATACCTAAACATTTCTGAACATCAGTATTACAGTTGTGGAAGAGCAGAAGGAGGATACATTTGTTTGTGTTGCTCCCCAAAATTCCACCTTGTGTTTGCATCACAAACGTCCCTCAATTGAGGCAGTTTTATTTGTTAGAACATTAAGCCTGTGTATTGTAATAGAGTGGGCTCAGTATTTTACTATAAAGCATTTAATAAACTTCTGTTATTAATAGAAGTTTGTGTTCTTCACACCGTTGCTATTGCTTTTTAAATAAAAAAAGTACTATTTTTTAAATTTACTTAAAGTACTATTTTTCACACTACTGAGGACACTTGATACCCTAGTACATGTACTGAGTATCTCGGCTTTTAAATTTTGCTTCTATTCGGTTAAAGAGCTAGGTCTATCCACGTATTTAATTAGACTGTTTTTAAGTTTTGTTATCTTGGGATTGTTTTCACTTAAAGTTTCATTGACTCTCAGGAAAATAACCAAATACAGCATCTAGCAAATGTCAGTGGCACTCAGATTTGAAAACAGTGGCTCTCAACACCCCTGATGTGACAGATGACTGAAGCCATATAATTTGTTCAGTTCATCCCTGAAAGGGCTCTAGAAATTTGAAGAGGATTAAACAGCATGGGTCCTAGTTGATCCAAATAAAGGAATTGGGGGCTTAAAGTAGTGGTTCCTGCTCAATCTTCTCTTCATCAAAAAGCCTGAGTTTTTTGCTTATCAAGCAAATCAACTTTGATAAATTATAAATATTTTTCTCATTTTAAGTTAATCAGAGACATAGATTACTAATTAAGGTTTCAGATTCATATGAGATAGCTGGTGTCACCACATTGATACAATTCTACCTAAAAGCAATGAAACCTGGAATTCTAGTTAGACCATATTTTGTGTATTTCCTTTATGCTTTTAAGAATATTGAAAATTATTTTTAAAATACACCTGCCATATTAGATTAGAACTGTACTCTAGATGCTTTGTTTAATCTTAATCACCTTAATTGCCTCTTTAAATCTCCAAATATGGTTATTCTGAGGGGCAGGGGTTTGGGACTTCAGCATATGAATTTCAGGGGGATACAATTCAGCCTGTAACATGGGGTGTGGAGCGGTGAGTAAGGGTTCTTAGTCTAAAGTAGGTGAGAATGTGCAATATGCCCTTAATGACATTGCCACCCTGGCTATGTAGCCTTGAGTCAATCACTTAACCCCTCAATTTCAATTACTTTCTTAATGTCAAGGCTTTGAATTCCTCACCTGTGAAGTGAGATGAGTAAGAAAAGAAACTATCAAGTTCTTTCTAACTCTAAAGGTCCAGGGTTCTTGATGCCCTCTGATGAAGATCCACTGCCTGTCCCTGTCTCTTTGTAGCAGATTACTTCTCAAAGGATGAGGGTAGGACTTGCAGAAGAGCAGAGTGGTGGGAGGCATGGATGTTGGAACCAGAAGACCCAGCATCTATCAGTTTATGAAGCTTTCAGGCTTAAATACATGTTTCTATCTGTATAATCTTCAAAGAAACAATGGCAATATAAGTAAAAAGAAAAACGTTATTTAGCACCAGTTTGTATCAAGAGCTACTATAGTAGCTCTTACTACTCTTTAGACAATTTACTAAAGACAAATTTTGAGTTACTTGTTTAGCAGTTCAAATTTATCATTTATTTATTTATTTATTTATTCATTTTTGAGACAGATTTTTGCTCTTATCTCCCAGGCTGGAGTACAATGGTGCAATCTGAGCTCACTGCAACCTCCTCTTCCCAGGTTCAAACAATTCTCCTGCCTCAGCCTCCTGCGTAGCTGGGATTACAGGAGCCCACCACCATGCCAAGCTAATTTTTTGTATTTTTAGTAGAGATGTGCTTTCACCGTGTTGACCAGGCTGGTCTCGAACTCCTGAGCTCAGGTGATCCACCTGCCTTGGCCTCCCAAAGTGCTGGGATTACAGGCAGGCATGAGTCACTGTGCCCGGCCACACATTTAGCTCTTAAATTCACCACAGATAACTAAAAGAAGTAAAATATAGCATAAAAAAGAAAAAGACCCATCAGTTTATCAATAATTTTCCTATAACATTTTAAATATTACAGTGGTGGCCTACCACTGACATAGATCCACCTACTGTGGTGTTCAGGTTGTTCAGAGATCTTAATCACTTATTCTCTAAGTAGGAACTGTGAAAGTGGTACTTTGGTTATCCTGTCTCTTACTTTCAGCAAATTACTCTGTCACCCTTCCCTGACCCTATATGTAATCCCGTTTTAGACCTTATATCAAGGTTTTAATGTGTATAACCTTGATGTTGGATTATTGAAGGACTTTGTCTTTAATGTCCCATTTGATAATTAAAGTCCTTTGTGAGGTGTTTTCACATGGAAGTAATTCATTGATTTCTCTGTATATACTGTTTTTCCCAGGATGATGGCATAAGAGAAAAAAGGCCCACTTCATTGAAATGCCTTTTACTTAATAGTTGATGCTGTCTTAAGATAACAGGTTAGTTTTCTAGGGCTGGTATAATAAAATATCACAAACTGAGTGGCTTAAGCAATAAAATTTATTTTCTCATAGTTCTGGAGACTGCAAGTCTAGGCATAAGGTGCTGGTTGGTTTGATTTCTCTTGAGGCTCCTCTCCTTGGCTCGCCAATGTGTTCTCACATGGTTTTGTGCATCTCTGGTGTCTGTGTATCCAAATTTCCTGTTCGTATTAGGATACCAGCAAGATTGCATTAGGGCCCATCATGACAGCCTTATTTTAACTTAATATCCTCATTAAAGGCCCTATCTCCAAATACAGTCACATTCTTAAGTACTGGGGGTTAGTTCAACATAGCAATTGGAGATGGGGGAACACTTCAGTTCATAAAAGATAATAATTTTAAAATAACACCTGCCCAAGAACAGGGCTCATTAAAGTGACAAAATGAAGTAAATCCGTCCTCATATATCAGCAGATCAATTCCTCTTCTTGAGGTACATTTTACATAAACTAATTTATGTTTATATTTCCTCTCTTACTGTCAGTGTATGATAAGACAAAGGAAGTAACAAAGAGGATATAAGAAACCTCAGACAGGCACAGTGGCTCACACCTGTAATCCCAGCACTTTGGGACCCAAGGCGGGAGGATCACTTGAGGACAGGAGTTCAAGACCAGCCTGACCAACATAGTGAAACCCCGTCTACACTAAAAATACAAAAACTAGCCAGACATGCTTGCTTGAACTCAGGGGGTGGAGGTTGCAGTGAGCCAAGATCATGTCGCTGCACTCCAGCCTGGGTGACAGAGTGAGACTCTGTCTCAAAAAAAAAAAAAAGAAAGAAAGAAAGAGAAAGAAAGAAGGAAGGAAGGAAGGAAAGAAAGAAAAGGAAAGAAAGAAAGAAAGAAAGAAAAAGAAAGAAAGAAAGAAAGAAAGAAAAAAAAAAAGAAAGAACAAAGAAGAAAGAAGAAGAAAGAAGAAAGAAGAAGAAAGAAGAAAGAAAGAAAGAAAGAAAGAAAGAAAGAAAGAAAGAAAGAAAGAAAAGAAAGAAAGAAAGAGGAAGGAAGAAAGAAAGAAAGAAAGAAAGAAAGAAAGAGAAAGAAAGAAAGAAGAAAGAAAGAAAAGAAAGAAAAAAAGGAAAGAAAGAAAGAAAGAAAGAAAGAAAGAAAGAAAAAGGAAAGAAAGAAAGAAAGAAAGAAACCTCTACACACAGTATCTTGTTATTCTCACATTCAAGGTGGTTTTCAGCAAACTGGGCAGAATCTTCAGCTTGGGCTATTTCCTTCTTATTGCCATCCTTTATCCTTTGTTGATTCATTGGTTACTTTATTACAAAAATAACAGAGAAAAATTACTTTCATTTCGGTCTTCTCCCTTATTAATTCACAGTTTAAAAGTTTGAGACTTACAATAATTTTTTAGTTCTTCCTCATTACCAAATAATATATAGTCTGTCCTCCAGGAGCATGTGTATGCTACAAATTAAGTGTAGAGATATATGTACATTTCAGTTGTTTGTAATGTAGACAAGGCCACAGTATTTATAGTACAAAAGATGGAATAATTTGCTAACAGAAACATAAACACCTTGAATTTTGAAGAAACAGGACATGAGAGCCGACACCCAGTGCAACACCGAAGCTAGCAGAGTCAAGACCGGAATTCGGGACTGTTGATTCCTAGTATTTGCATCAATTAGAATCAAATCAAGTTTTTAAAAACACATATGTGCAGAATCTGGTGATTAGATTTTGGGTTTCTTACGGCTGGTAAAGAGAGAAGCATCTATAATTTCTGGAGGAAAACATAGTGTTGAAATGTCCAACACATCTTGTTGGATTGGGGGTAAGGTGGTATACTTGGGACCTATATTGCAGACAGCACCAAGCTTAGAATGGGAACTTTTAGTGTTTAACTTTGATTTCCCACGTTTTAAAGTATTAACTGTCTAACACTGCTATGAAAATTATGCCATTAAGCCCTTCCAAATCATTATATTGTCTTTCAGCAAGATACACGGAACTAAAATAAGACGTTTGCATCCATATTCAATAAACCACATGTACAAGAAGGAAGGCAAAAAGACAAGGGGGAAGGAAGGAAGGAGTGTGGTATTTGGGAGATAAGAGAGGAGGAGAGAATGCCATATGTTTTCCTACTTATTAAAAACACATGCATAGGAAAGGCATTCCATTTACACTAAATTCTGGAATAAAACCAAGCTTATAATTTTTAATCACTGAGGCAGTGAGAAAATATTCTTAGTTGATTTTAAAATACATTTTAGTAGGCATTAACAGTGCTTATTATCTAGCTCATTTGAGTCAGTCACCCTAAGGGTTAGTGAATTAATCATTCATTTGAAGTCATCAGCTAATGAGTCATGAATAGCTCCAAGCTGTTAAGAAATTATTATTTTAAAAAATAAAATCACTTTTTTCTGTACTCAGATATTTTCTGTGTTCATTAGGTGTGTATTTTTCCCTAAAGCATTTCCAAATTCCAAGTGTGTTACCTTGTGTTATCGTTTACAATGTTAATAACCTGAAAAGTCAAATTAACTTTCCAGCCAGTTAGTTGAACAGTTAAGGAATTATTTTTCAAAGACTCTTGCATTTCATGAGTTTGTTATTAATGCCTATTACTGTTTCAAGACCTGAAGAGGTTCAAATAAAATACATATGAGCAAAAAATATGAAGCACATTTAGAATCTGGATCGAACTGAATATAGGATA